TTAAAGCAAATCGAAAACAGCAATAGAATAATGCACATAAATAGATAACATAGAGAAAAAATAAAAAGATAAAATCTTTCATTGGTTCCTGAAATATATCTGAGTGATGGACGATAACAAGGAGATATTTTAGCAGATGACATTAACCTGTGATTAAATATGAATTTATTCATTATTTTTGATTTAAGATATTGAATTTTATACTTTATATTAATTTAAATTACGATTATGTTCTCTTTAAAGGTGCGGTTTAGTTACAATTCTTTCTAATTTGTAATTCAGTGCATGGTACTTTCTTGCATACTACTTAACTATTTCAAATTACTTGCCATTTTGCATGGTACTTTACTATTTCAAATTACTTACCGTTTTGCATAGTATTTTACTCCAGAATTGCAGGCTATAATAAATAAGCAACGTGCTACCTGCTAATAAACACCAGAGTATTAAAGTTATTAGTAAATTGTTGAAATTCCATTTTACTAGTCATAAATGATCCACTGGACTAAAAGTATGAAAATAATTTTTATGGCTTTCTAATTAAATTCATATATTTTATAAGCAATAAAATATTTTTAATACAACGTTGCATTTTTATTTAAAACGTTTAAAATGACGTTAAAATTCTGTGCATCACTGAACAATTCGTTTATACTCACACGTTTACTTGAAACAATAATATTGAACGTGTACGTACGTTTAAGTATGTTAGATGATACAGTTCATAGCAACTTACTTCCCGTGAGATACGCTATCTTCAAATATTGTTTCAAAAATAGTGGGAAAAACATGGCGCGCAAGAAATTCTTTAGACATGACAAATCTCTTTGAGTCAAAAGTATTCTGAAAATTCCATAATAAGAAGTAAAATTATTTCCTTTCAAAAATGAATGAATAAACTTTTAAATCATTTTAATAAGTAATCAGTAATTGTGACAAGAAATTATGACAAAATCAATATTTTAATTTTAATATATTTCTATATTTCTAAAAAAAATTTATTAAGTGAAAATTTTACGTCAGTAAAGATGGACGTTCTTGAAATTCTTTCATTCTGAAATGTTTATTTGTATGCTTTTCCATTTCAATTGACATCTCTTCGTGGAAATTTTTCTCTTTTTTCAAAGCTATAAATAATATTGCAGTAAAAATAACTTACAATAATTATACCAAAAAAAAGAAAAATATAAAAAAAAGAATAAAACAACAACAAACATTGGACTCCATTAGTGATAAATAGTAATTCAAGTTCACATGAAAACATCTCTCTATAATTTAAATAATAATTCAAGTTCACGTCCTCACAGTATTATGTGACACTAAAAAGGGAGACATTAAATGGGTCAAATAGAGGGTCACAGAGCACGATTGTTGTCTATTTTTGCATTTGTTGAGCAGTGATATGAATTGAAATGAGACTGAGATTGTCCGAAATTTTTTAACGAAATAATCGTTAAACTTTTAAATTAGAAACATTCACTCACTTTCATGCATAAATTCAAAGCATTTACATACTGACTGATTTTTAATTTTAAAAAGAGCAAACTTTTTTTGTTTAGTTTTTCTAAATGATACATTCGGGAAATTTTCGATTTAAATATGATATCGACAGATCATCAATTTTGTATACTGTATAATAATCACAAATTTGAACGATATTAGATTTTTATAACTTAAACGATTTTAATATTCGCTAATTATTTAATAAATAATTTGAAATTTATAACAAAAGTTATTGGCATTAGCGATCATTTATGATCGTCATTCAAAATGACCTTTATTTAGCATATTCATTCAATTTTTGCGAATATATGCATATAATGAGAATAAAATTATTTGATAAAAGTTTAAAAGAAATATTTTATTATTTATCATTAATTTATTTAATATTAAAATTGCAGGAGCGGTTGCAATCATTTGTAATTCTCATTATTTTCTGCCACTGTGTGGTAATTTCTTTTACATTTACGAAACTATTTTTTATTTATAAATACTTGCAATAATTTTATCATTCAATCAATTTTCATCATATTTATTTATATAAAAAAAAATAAGCAATCTTATTTTTTGACAGAAAATTTCATTTTGATGATTGCTTCAGATTTTTATATAATATAATTTGCAGTGTATTTAAACTAATCAAATCAAAAAAAAAAAAAAAAAAGAAAGAAAATGGAATCAATAGCTTCATTATCAATTATCATCGAAATTGCATTTATTTGCTTACAAATTTGCACATTTATTGAAATAACCATGCTGTTAATCACAACGTGCTGCAAAAATTATCAACCGAAGAAAATAACACTGTTGTAAGAAGAATTCATGTATACATTCAAAGCGCATTTGTGTAAACAGCGCCAAAGTTCAATTGAACATTTTGCATGTAAAATAGATACAATCTAAGTTGCACTCATATTTACAAGGAAGTATACAAATTATTGCATTAAATATGGATTACTTATCGTAGCATTTATTTATTTGTTTGTTTTTTTGGCTTATATTTTCAATTACAAATTAGATTAGCGTTAAAATATATACATAAATTTTTTTTTCATTTATACAGTATTTCCATTTATTTTTAAAAAAACTACTGTCACATATTTTTCATGAAATGTTAATTCTCTCAACGAATATAAATTTAAAATTTAAATTTATAGCAAGAATTAAAACCAAAAGTATCCAAAGAAACGATAAAATCGCCAGCACAAAGAAGAGCAATTGCAAAAATTAGAGAGGGTTAGCAAGGATAAAAATTACATTACTTTTACTAGTATTTTGAAAGAAAAAAGGGAATACTTTAAATTAATTAAGATCATATTTCTAGGTGAAATGATTCCAGCAAATCAGAGTGAAACAATTGATGATGCAATAAGTAATTGGGGAGCTGTGCAAAAAGTTGAACGTAAAGTACCTTTAAAAAAGGTATATAATATTTTGATTCTCATCACTTTGTTACTAATACTTTCCATTTTTCAAATGCTATTCATTTTGTTCATTTTAAATTTAAAATTATCTTTTTACATTAAAACATCTTAGTGGATGATAATATCAGATCACAAGACGATATTTTAATTATTTCATTAACTCATACCATTTCTCTACAGATATAACCAATATCACTAGAAGACATTTTGATTAATTGATTAACTCATACCATTTATTTTTTTTTTTCAGAAACGTCAAAAAGTTAAAAGAAGAAAATGAGAATGATGAATGTTTTAAGTGATACTTTTGTTATCATTTTCAACTTACTTTTTACGTGTTTCATTTTCTTGCAGAATAATCACTTATAGAAAAGGATTCATTTACTTGAATGGTAATCTTTTACTGAAAAACACTTATTTAAATGATAATCTTTTACTGAAAAGGATTTATTTAAGTGATATCTTTTATATTGGCTAAATTCCAACAACTTCTGAGCAGTTTTATTTTCAATTCTTAAGCAGAAAGCAAAATATCATTAATATTAAATTAATAAAATATCATATTTAGTCACATCACAAAACCAAATTATACACTGTCCATTGTTCACAAATTTTTGAAAATTTTCTTTTTTTAAAGTGCTAACTATAAATATAAGCAGTAAGTTATTTGTTCTGTACTTCTTCCTTACCACATCTTTTCTGTCATTTGCTGCTCATTAATTCCTGCAATATATGATAATACGAGAATATACGATCATCGATTAATTCCATCAAATGATTTTGGTTGAATGTTTATCAAATAATACTTTAAAATGAATTATATTGTTGATTGTACTACCCCTATCTCTAGTATTGCCTATTAGATTTATTCAAGAATTAACTAACTAATTTAAGTGCTTGTGCTTCCTTGTTTCTAAACTTTGATTTTTCGGTTAAATTTTTTTAAATGCTACAACAAAATTTCGGTAAGTAATATGAGTTTCCTCAATATGAGTGGGAAATATTGTAATTAAAAATTGAAATTAAACAAAGTAAATGCTATAACTCAGTTCTTCAGATTTATTTTCCACATTCAAATTTTCTAGCCTAATCGCATTCTATTTTTACATTAATAATAGAGTTTTGCTATTACGCTTTGCTTAGTGATACGTTGTACGATCATAAATTATAATTCATTGATGTATGAAACAGAAATCAGTTCATAGCATTTAGCAATTTATTGTAATTCTGAAATAAATTTCGTTTTCTTCTATTATCTGAAGCTGCCATAAGTCATTTGCACTTGCGCCATTTGATAAATGATTATTAATCGGCTGTGAATCACTCTCAAATATGAATTAATTAATTCATCAATTAGAACCTATAGCTCCTCAGCTCTCAATCCTCAAATCACTCAATCGATCAATTCATGAGCTAATCAAATCTAACATCAATAAATCACAATGTGTGTGCTGTTTTGTATAAAATAATACTTAAAATGAATTTCTGAATCCGCCAAAGTTTTTAGCAGAATATTGCATTGATTCATTCTCCATTGACTCTTCCAAGATGTGAGGTAAAATTGTTGAGTGATTCACATAAGCCTGGCCTATAAGTTGACCCTTAGATGTCCTTGCTCATCTCGATCAAGCTGTTTGTCAATTACACATTAGACTGTAACACTGTCTTTTCGCAGGATAAAGGTCTTCCCTTTTCAAACTGTTTTCACTACTGTTATTAAAAATCTATCGTTTCTCGAGTTATGAAGATATATGTAGAGAGAGAGAGGGAGAGGGGGGAATAAACGATAATAATTTACTTTTCTAGTTCAGTAACTAATTTCATTGATCTCTGAGTTACGCTTTCAAGGTTTTTATAACGTTATTTCTATTAGTTCAGTAATTTCATACACATAGAATTTTGTAACCATCAAAAACTTTCCACACTTTGCAGTATTTGCATTATATTTCCTTTTCATCTACTTTTTCTTTGATTTTAAAGATGACATATTCATCTTTTGTTTTGCATCTGGAAATCATTTCTTCACAGCAAACGAAGAAGTGTTTGGCCTTTAAAGATGAGTAGTTGCAAAGTGAGATGTTCAATACGAGGAGAGTTGGTCCTCTGAATTCATCAACGCCAAAAATGAAATTATCTCGCACAAAATCTGGTAATCAATTAGAAGTGTGTTCATGCAACTTTATCTGTTGTTTGTTGTTTTTAAGGTTGTTCTCCTGGTGTTTACTAACCAAGGCACATGGCATTTTATTTTGTCCCAATAATTTACCTTTATGTGACTTGAATTTTATAACTTCAAGTCCTAAAATGCTTCAGATTTACTTCACTTCAGACTCGTTTGAATCGAATCACACCGAGCCACTATCAACTTTTTCACCACTTGGTTTTTCATCAAGTTTTGCATATGGTGAGCAAGAAGTAAGTTCAGTGTTTCTCACAGGCCTCGAAAAAAAGAGGCGCTGTGAGTCCCTGTTCTGACTATTTTTTTATGTTTTCCACCTTGTTCTTCAACCATTCATTTAGAAAATGGACATTTGCTTTTTGCTTTCGTGCTGTTTTCCTGAATTACTTAAGTCTTTATGTTTTATTATGGAAAAGTCTACCCAATTAAGTCTCCCTACTCAAATTATATGAAGTTCTTGAGACTGCACACTGTAAAACTGGACTCTTTTAAACTTCTAAACACATTTTACGAATAGTCATTTCTCAAGCATTATTTGAGTGACACAAAATTTGTAAAATGTTAAAAACAAAGGAGAGCACTGTATGTAGTCGGATGGCTGAAATATATTTTTTCGTGAATTCCAATTAATTTATGAACTAAAATGGAGGTAGGCAGTAGAGTGAAGTGATTATCTGATGTGAATTGCTATGAAAGAGGGTTCATTTCTTCCCTCGCTATGTAATGAAGTAGTCGATGGGTAGTAAGAGGCTGTTAAAGAGTAAAGAAAAGGGCTAGAGTTTCTGCATTATATTAGAACAGCAGTACCGTGGCGACATTTCATTATCTGTCAGGGTCGTCCATTGTTCTTTAGTGGTTAAGGCCGTGGCATAAACTGCTCAAATATAATCTATTCAGCACTATTGCGAGTTTTATTAGAAATGTTCCGTTGATATCGTTTTGAATTTAATTATTTGCCTGTGTTACAGGTTCAAATTATCGTTTTATATTCAAATATCTTTTACCATTCATTACTGGCTTTTCATAATAAGGAGTTATAATTTTGAAATAATTGGTAGATGAATGATTTAATAGTTCCACTATATTATGTATGTTAGGGCGGTATTGATATGAGGCTATACAAAAAGCAGAAAACTATTCCAATAATATTCACCAGTTGTTTCCATTCTTGTATTGTAAAGAGGTAACCGACTTATTAGATAGAATGATAAGCAGGACATGATGATTAGGAGAACCTTATTGGAACTGACAGCCATTGATAGCGCAGAATGATAAGCAATACTAATTAGAATATGAATAGTTAGCAAGACTGCTGAAGAGATTGTTTTAAATAGACATCTAGTTCTAAATAAAGATAACAGTAAAAGTAAGATGATTGTAAGTTTTTTATATGAGATAAAACGCCATTATTAGAAGTAAGAACTGTCACTGTTAAATTCGAAAAATAAGCTGTTTTATATGCTCATTCAAAGAAGCGTATTCTTAAGCTTTATTTTGTTGTATGTTATCATATATGCCTTATCGTGCAATTAATATTTATTGCCTTAAGTCTGTTTTTTTCTTCGTTTATTAAGCTTTAATTACGTATTCCTTTTTTGAAGATGACGCAGATATCGGCGAAAAAAGGCACTATATCTCAAACGATACCTTTGCTTAAGAAAAAGAGTTTTCCGCGACGTAATTCACAGTCACGATCACGTGGTCATAAATTGCGTCGTTCGACACCACAAGTTTGGTATGCTCTTTTTTCTGTTTTCATCGGATTTTCCATGAGGCCGGCCCTTTTTAATGTGAAGCTAATGTATGGCTTAAAGGAACATGAAATTATGCTTACCAACTTTATCTTCCACTTTACTAACGCTTGCTTTTAGATGTTCAGACCGTTAAAACTGATTCAATTGAAAAGCTACTGCCGAACAATGTACGTCATTCGATTATCACTTCTGCCAATTCGGCCGCACTTGAAAATCATTCTTCGGCACCTACTATTTCCGTTTACTGTAACCAGAAGTATATACTAGTCAGTGTTACACTTTTTTTCATTAGCAGTACTTATAGGATAATTCCGAGTGTTGTGACATTCATTAGAGAATTACTAGAGAACGCCCTTATGATGCTTTTCAGCTGTTTAGAAATCACTGCAAATTACAAAGTCTTAAGTACATTTTTACACCAAGATTTTTACACTAATAGGCTTTTGCATTGAAAATTTTTAGTCAATTTTTTTGAAAGTTAAAAATTTTATTTCAGACATAATAAATTATTTGGTAAGAAAGCTGCATGAATTCCAGGGAACATCAGTGAAGTCCAGTGGAACTATTTCTGGTACAGGAAATTTCATGAAGATGTCGAGCCATCTTGTTGATCATCCCTTCATTTTGACTTCGATCCATCTTTTGCTGTATTTCCTCTACGCTTTTATGATCTATGATTTAGCGAACTATTTTGGTGTTGATCGATTCGTGATAAAACATTGGACACAATGGAGCAAGAAGATTCTTCCTAATTTATGGTCATTAAAGTTATCTTCACCGGGATGAATTTTACAATCCAGATCTGATATCCAACATTTTTTTCGCATCAGTTTTCCCATCTATACATTTCATACCTTTTTAATTCAACCATATTATTGTATATTTAATAACAGTTTAATCACAATTAATGTTTACAAGGCAAGATGCATATTTAAACTTGTCGATTAGCAACAATTACTAGGTTTTGTTGTTCATTAAAACTCATTGTTATTTCTAATAGGATTTATTTACAAGTGGTTTTTGAAATTCTAAAATTTTATTTTCTTATTTTTTTCTATAAATTAAACTTTTTAGCAGTCGCTTGATTGAGAGTTTTTCATGTATTCTGTATGTTTTTACTGAACATTTATTCAGCTCTCCTACTAGCAAATTTTTTTTTATAATAATGTCTACAGCAAAAGTTGTGCTGCTATATCTGTTAAGTTTTTTCTATTTTTCGTAAATGTAATAAAATATATTCGTCCTTTTCAACTGATATTTTTTTTCACCTTTAAGTTTGGTTAACGATATTATAATAGAGTCTAGCCATATTTGATAATTTAATTATGCATAACAATTGCCAAAAACAATTACATGATAAAATATTAATTAGTTGGCTTGTCATGTTATCATGTAATATCCAAGCACAGTAATTACTCGATTCATTTGAAGAAAAATAGTCTGTTTTTATTATTAATTTTATGGTTACTTTATTATTAATTATTTTATTAATTACTGCTTACTGCAGAATCCTTAATATACTATAAAAGCTAGGAAATTTTCCTTTGAAGTGCTATGTTGTATAAAATATTTTTGTTTGTTTTTCGATTGCTAATAGTATTTATAAATAGTTATCAGGACAATTTAGCATTCGTTTCATGCTGCTTTTTATCCGAAATAGTGACTGTATCCTGGAATGATATAATTAACTAAGCAGAGTAGTCGTCTTTTTGATTCTTCTTGTTGTATTTCATTTGTTGTTAATTGTTTCCATGTTCTCGAATCTTTCATAAACATATCACCTTCAATACAAATGAAAGTAATCTTTTCATCAGTTAAAATTTTAAAACGTAAAATTTTTATTGCTCCACTTTTTTTAAAAAAAATTTGAGAATGCTAAACTTTAAAAAATTTTAATGTATAAAGAACTAATCAAATGATTAATTTTTTTGGAAAAAATTCTAAACCCAAATTAATCAAATTATTTCAATTTGAGGAGAGAGAAATACTTGAGGAAAAATTAGAATTTGAGAGTTTTTTTTGCTAAAAATATTGATCTTATCGGAAACAATGATGATACCAAAAAAATTAGTATTATTTATGAGAAAGAAATGTCATCAGATGTATGACCTGGTGTTTTCAATAAATAAACATCCGGGAAATGATTAGTGTTACCCGAATGATCAGGATGCCGATGAGTTGTGATTACATGATTGATAGATGGAGCATCAAGTTCACTTAATCCCAGAGCAAAAAAATATTTAAATATTTGAAAATATTGAAAATGGATGAACTCTTATTTATTGAATAGAAATAAATTTGCTAGCACACATCTATAAATGTTAACTCTCATTATGATGTACTATAAAATTTATTCATTAATAGTATTTTATCACTATAATTTCTTTTAGAAATTTGGAAATAAAAGATGCAAAAAGATATCTGAAACGGCAATTCTATCGGGAAAATCGGGTTTAGAATTTTTGAAACATATCAAAATCTTTTGAAAATTAAATTAAATTAAATCAGAATGCTTTATTTATAAAAATGACTAAATCTTTGATTTAAACATGATAAAACAATATATTTTGATTTAAAGAGATGATAAACATGAAATATGAAATTAAAATTTCATATTTTTTTAAAAATTCAAGATAACTTAAGTATTGAAAAGAAGTAGTCGATATTTTAATAAAATATTGACATCAATTTTTGTAACTAAGCATAAAAAGGTTAACGATGATATGGCATTATCAAAAATTGCATTATGAACATCTGAAATGAGAATACCAATGAGAATCCGACGATTTATATTATCAAACATGTAAGTTAGGTACTATGTTTGCATATTTTACGAAGTTTGATTACTTCACTAATTGAAACAAAAAATTATTGTTCTATTTCTCAAATCAAAAAAAAAACCAAGTTAAAAAAAAGAACCAAAAATTGAAATTGATTAAAAGAGAAGATTGAAAGATTATTGCTTGAAATAATGCAAACAAGAATGATGTTTGTATATGCAAAATAAAATTTACTGTACAGTGGTATTTATGATAAATGCAAAGTTGATCTCTACTAGGTTTATTATCATTTTAGGGTTCCATTGTGTAGAACCAGAAATGGTTACGAATTCTGTCCACAATTGTGGTTGATAATGGAGAAAAGATTCTGATAGACAGTGGGCTCTCTACTGATATCAACGAGCGCACTTGGATATTGCAAAGTTTGTTTAAGAAGAATGCACTACTATTAATTAATAAATTATGATTATCTTCAAAATGTACATTTTCAATATTTTCAAATATTTAAATATTTTTTTGCTCTAGGATTAAGTGAACTTGGTGCTCCACCACCATCTATCAATCATGTAATCACAACTCATGGGCATCCTGATCATTCGGGTAACACTAATCATTTCCCGGATGCACTTCATTATGCTGGAAGATTTGTGCATCTTGGAACGCACTCCTACTTTTTACGAATTTTCGAGGTAACTTTTCAAAAATTATTAACATTTTAATCAATAAACATTATCATAAATCTGAGAAACATATATTCACTTATGCTAATAGTAGACTTAGAATTATTTAATAATCTGAAAAATCTATATTCAATTTCTCTTCTCTCTTACAACTTCGAACATTTGTGAACCGAATTAGATATTATTTAATTAAGGAACGTTAAGGTGTGAGAAATAATTATATTGCCGAGGTTGAGGGAATTTTGTTAAATTGTGATTAGAAGATAATGGAAACTGATAAAACGAAGAGATAACTAATTTTTATAAGAGTTAAATAGTAGAAAATTTGACAGCTAATGAAGTTTGTAGTAATATTTCATTAGAAATAATAATTGTAGTAATTAAGAGTGAAATAGTTTGGACAAATGAGATAAGATATTAAGAATTTATAAGATAGTAGGTTTATGCACTAATTGCTAATATGTGGGACATTTCATTTCTTCTTGTTCTTTTTGTTCTTTTTTAGAATAAGAAAATGAGGTAGTAGAAAAATAAATATTAGAATTGTTTTCAATTTCCAAAATCATTGGGCTGCGTCACTCAGTATTTCCATGATTTTCCTAGCTGTTAGCTTTATACATGTAAGCATTTTTTTTAGTAGAAACTATTTCCATTTAAAATTTAGTGCAATAAGCAATAAAACGATTTTTAATTTAATCAAATTTTATTTGAATACAATTTGCTAATATTACATTCATGCATGTAGTAGAATTACCAATTTAATTTATTCGCTATAATGAGGCGATTTAATTTATTCGCTATAATGAGGCGATTTTTTATTTTGAAATAGATATTTCAGAAAGCTATTATTTAATTATTTTCAGAATAGTTGTAATATTTAAACAATGAAAAAGCACTATTTTTATAGCTATTTATACAGTCAGCATTATTTGATTTTTTATTGGCTGCATTTGGTGCTGTTTTTATTTTCCATATATTTAGCTTTCGATATTGATCGTGTTATGTATCACGCTTCAAGTTGTATTTAGACATTTTTAACTTTTTCCTAAGAATATTGGAGCTAATCGAAATTAATTTCCATTATTTAATTTTCGAGGAAAAATTTTGAGTCACTCTATATTATTTTCTCACTCTATGTTAAAAATGTCAAGAAATTTTTGAAGGCATTCTGAATTGGTCATATTAATTTTGTATTATTCTTAGAGATTTTGTAGATTAAACGTAGTGAATTTTCACATTAAAAAATTTCATGGAATGATATAGAATGATGATTTCTAGATGAGATGAGTTTTTAGCATGAACAATTGTATTTTAAGGTGAAAATTTGGCCTCTAGTAAATGGTTTATTTCGCCACATTATTTAGTTTCGTATTTTAGTGACAATTTGTTTTGTCCTTTTATCAAAATAGAGCTTCTCAAAGAAAACTTTCATTTGGGGTATGTAGTTGGCATATTTTTTATTGACATAAGCTCCGTTATTGACATAAGCTCCGTGAACCAGGTGAGAATTAGAAATATCGTCTTACCCTTGTATAGTATGTATATAATACTCACCTTGCATAATATGATTATCTTTATAACATCCATATATGTAAAAAAAATAACAGTTGTATTCCCTCTGTTCCGATCATATATGTAGTATTCTGTTAAAAGTACCAAATCATAAATGAAAATAAATATGAAAAATCAGTTTAGAAATAATTAAACTGATTTTTTATAATGACTACATTTAACTAAACTGTTTTTCATATTTCATGTTTAACTATCCATTTCTTTTTTATATTAATGATACGAATCATTTTTACTTATTGGAAGGAATATCAATAAGTTTTTATGTGTATATTGTTTTGTATTTTGCACAGCTAACAATTAATAGCTGTCAACAAATAAATTACAAAGAACTTTTATGGGAATTGGAAGAGGGTACACAATAAAAAAGGGAAAAAATAGTTTTAGATTTAATAAAGTTTTCTCTTTTTGCATAAAGGAGAGATATTTGCTATTTGGTATAGCAATTAATTAATTAATTCGATGTAAAATGTCGGAAAAAGTGCATTTGTAGACTTGAAAAATAAAAAGGGAATATATAAAATGATAGAGTAGAAAATATTTAACTATCTTCATACATTACCACTTTATTAAATTAAATCAGCCGTCGGCAAAGAAAAAAACGACGATATATTGGCAATGGTGGATAATTACTGCAACAGCGAATATTGTCATTTCATACTCTTTTGATACATTTTCATGAATTAGTTCCGAACAAATTCGATTTGGTTTGGCTATGTGTTTCATCACTAATTGTTGCTTTTGTTTGCTCTGTATGCAATCTTTCTGATCGCAGTGAAACAAAAATTGATTGCTGCTATCGTTATTTCAGGTTGGCTTTTCCAAACTGATTGGAGCAACTCAATATTGTTGTGAAAATTGTAATTATCTTTTTCAAAAATCGATAAAAGCGATATATCCAAGTAATATTACTTATCACAGTTAATTATCGCTGATAGGAATATTAAATGACGTTATCTGATCCTTGAAATTGTTGAATAAGCTAGTCATTTTTAAAGAACATGTGTGTCGCTTTAAAATATCATCAAAAATCAATTATTCCTTCCATTCTTTACTAACTTTTAATTTTGCTAACTTCTAAATTTGGTTCAGCCGGAAAACCAGTAACACTTCTAGCAATTTGCTTTGATATCTTGAACTTTATTATTGTTTTAATCATTTATAAAAGTATTATAATTGTATTTACGATGAACATTCGAATCACTTTGTCGATCTTTTCACAATAAAGCAGCTAAACTACTTAGGAGTTTTTAAATTTTTAAACTCTAAGACGGATTATTTCATTTTATAATGATTTTATAATGGTGAGTTCACTGTTACATAGAATTTTAAAAATGTGGATAAATCGTTATGAATGCATGGTGCATGGCATGCTTGAATGAATATTCTTTTCACATTGTTGAACTTAATTGAACATAGAATCTCAGAAAAATTTTTAATAAATATTAAATATATTTAATAAATAGTCACCCTAACTTGGTAAGAGATTTAAAAAAAGAAGGAAATAAACTGTGATATTAAATTATCGTTTGAGGTGAAACAACATGGAAATCTTTAAAGGATTTCTAATTGACGCATCAAAAATTATGGTCAAATTTTTGTCCTAGTAAAGCTATCTAAGTATCCTGTTATATTTATAAGGATAGCAAAATCTTAACTAATTCATTACATACACATATATCGACAAAGCAATTAATTTGGCAAATCAACTTATTATTAACTTGTGCTCCAATCTTTGTATATTTAAATTCTAAATAGATAGAATGGTTTGAAAAAAAAAACAATTAATCGAAATGCGAAATTTACATATTTCCGACAAGAAAGTTTTCAAGAAAACGATGAAACTACAAAAGATTTATTGCTACATGCGAAAGTGATATTTCCATTCGTACCTTATCTTAATATAAAATTCGCTTTATTTGTTGTGCTAAGTGATTTTAATTGGAATTTCAATTTTTCACTTACTCGTATAGAGTAAAACAAAACATTAAACTTCAAATTATCAATGGTATGAAGCTTTAAATCATATTTGTAAGAAGTGAAGCCAGTTAATAGTGGATTGCTTTGACAGATTTATCCTAAATCTTCCTGACCTATCACTGTCATTAGATAAATCGGTATTAATTGATTTAACAGACATGATTTATTGATTTGTTTTTATTTATTTAGTAAACGTCACATAATCCCATCAATATTTATATCATTCATCTTTAAATATTCTCTACGTGTGAGGATACGTTCTTTCCAAAGAAATACACGGCAATCGTTTCTTCGGCTTCCAAACCGCAATGGTAACACCTTATTCGCCAAAATACGTACAAGACTCAACTGGAAATTTACAGTTGCTGAACCAAATCCACGAAGACGGCCAAGCTGGAACGTGATCTCACGTCGTACTTTACGGCACACATCTTGTAGTATCTGAAACTTATTAATTTCATTTTTTCAGTTTTTCTAGATCGAAAAAGAAAATCACGTTTTAAATTACAATCAGTAATTGAAACTTATTAATTTTATTTTTTCAGTTTTTCTAGATCGAAAAAGAAAATCGCGTTTTAAATTAAAATCAGTAATTGAACTAACTGGCATTCTTTCATCGTTGAAAACGTCAAAGAATTCCATAGAAACTGAATTAAGTGGATACCATGAGAGATCGATTTTGATTGATTCTATTACGACAATTCGTTTTACCTAAAAAATTATGGAAAAATTGCCAGGTATTATTCTTTAAAGAACTTTAATGAGCAAAATAATGACATTGAGATCATCAAAACTATTATGTTATGCACTGCATTATGATTTCTAGTTTTATTTAAGTATTGCTCTTATGAAAATGATTGCTGTTGCCAATTAAAAATATAGATCTGAAATTTTAATAGATAATTCTCATGAAGATTAATTAGCTTTCTGTAAAAAAAAATGATTTTTAAACGCTGAGAAAAATAAATGGAATACTGATGGCGGTAGATGAACATTTGCAAGTTGTATGAAATCATTTAAAATTAGTGCTTCGAATGTTATTGTTGACAGTGAATGAAACATTTTTAAGAGCTCAAATATTTGTTCGCTTGTCGAAGGCTGAAATTTCCGCTTTTTTTTATACAGATAAATAAAAGTAAATTCTTGTTTTAATTTTTAAATTTGTATTTGAAATTTTATAAATTTAGTTATTTGTCAACTTACCTTAAGAAAAGCTCGTGCAAGCGTCAAATGACTCAAATGTTCCATAGTAATCATTGTTTCTGCTACTTCTATAACAGCAGCACTACGATTCTAAACGTATCAATGGTCAAATTAGTTAGTTGTATATTAACTTTTAAATTCTCTTGCGCACTTCCTTACACAAAAGTTATTATGAAGAATATAATTTCAAATGTTCATTATTTTTGTTTTTTTTTCAGTTTTTGTTCTTTTTTTTTAAATTCAAAATAAAATAGATGCATTACTTCAGATGTAGCAGCTCCTTCCGGCACGATAACAGTAAGTAACAATTCTAAACGTCGCAAAGTAGTTGCTAAGGCTCGACATATGGTCAGCAATTGTCGGATACGCATTCGATGTGTGCAAATTCGAAGATCTTCAATTGGAGCGCAGATTTTATCCACTGGTGGAATCAGCTAATGTTAGTGCTTCTCGGATATGGAGCGTACGAAGATTTGGCAATGTGAGGAAATCGCTCAGAGTATAAACAAGACTGAAAAATTCAATTATATCTATTGGTGAACTGTATTTTCCATTCATCAATCATATTTTTAGATAAAAATAATTATTACTTTCAAACACTCAGTTGCAGAATTATTCAGTTTCCACTTTTAGTTTTAGGCAATGAAATTTTTTGATATTTGCTGCTTTTCCACATAATTTAAATCTCTTAGACTTTTTTATTTATATTGTGTCAGATGAATATGCATGAACACATGCATAGAATAGTTAGAATAAATCTACTCTAAAAATCAATGTAAAAATTTGCAAAATTTTTCTAATGAAATATTTGATTGCATAATTTTCAAGCAAAAATTTGTGTTTTTTTGCCAAAACTTTTGAAATCATAAATTCCTTATCTTAAATTATTTCGTATACTGCATAATTTGACGGTTTCTAATTTTCGTAACAAAGCAAAAAAGCCCTCTTCTGCAGTTATCTTATTGCAACGATCCAAAAATCGCATTGTTGAAGATTCTACCAAAATTGTTTTCACATTGCTGTAATATTATTTTCTGGTCTTTTCAAGATTTTTTTTAACCATTTATTAAGTACTCAATTTTATTTTATGGACAAAACTACTTGACCAATCCTTGCATCTAGTGAATGTAATATATCAAGCTACTTGGCCAATAATAGGTCTTTGAAGCATTGTAATTAATGATTTCATGTTAAAATGTATATAAATAAATATTAGCATATTTTCATATATTTTAGTGAAAGAATTCTTAAATCAAGACATGTTAAAATTAGAATTAAAATCCTAGGATAAAGCAATAAATGCATTTTCTTATAAAGCGCAGCAAATGACCGGAAATTATAGAGCATCGGAATAGCTTTAGTGGTACGAATTACGCCTACTGCAGGAGAATTGGTGACAGCTTGATAGGCATGTATCACAACCTAAAATGTTTTCTCTTGGACATTTATGAACGAATTTCATAAAATACATTTGTGCTCATGAGAATAGAATGGTTCTAACGGTTTTATTTGCTTCATGTTCAATTGGTACTCTTGTTAAGTAAAGGTGCTGAACGTCGACCCAGCTGCTCAATTCTTCAGCCAATCTAAATTTTTTCAAGTAATTATATACTTAGTATTTAATTCATAAAGTTTATTTAGCAACATGCATTAGCTGGCACTTTTTAAAACTTACATTTGCTAATCATGCTTAATTCATTTGCAAAATTTGTTCTTAGATTTGCTAATTTAATTCTTTTAAAATTCACTTTGATATCAACTAATTGATTCATTTTTTGCTGACTAACAATAATTTGTGTAATTATTATTCCAAAGATTCATTTAAAAAAAAAAACCTTTTATTAATGCAACAAATGCGACATCGTGTAAGGGCATCACATAGATAAAAGATCATCTTGATAAGTTCAAACGGTAATGAGATCGGTGAATTTTGCTGCAGGTAATATCAGAAAATAAAAATAACAGATAATATCAGGAAACAGCGCATTATTGATAACAAATTATTATTTCCACTTTCATAAAACCTGAAGACATGAACTCACCGGCTTATGAATATTACTGTTTAAACTTTTTAAGCGTATAATTTCATCACGTTGTTCCTCAATATTATGTTTTAGTATTGCTACTGTTTGGCGCAAATCTTCAATAGTCGATTCGCGATGCTTCAAAATTTCTCGTAAACGTTCCAATGTTGCACTGTTTGTTTCAGTACTTGAGCTTCCACCTCCGTCCTCAGCATCGAATGCTTCTGGTGAATTCTCTCTTTCTAATTGATCTTCCATTTTCCGTTTTCTTCTTTTTTAAACTGAAAATTCTGTCAACAGTTTTTTCTTTTCACTATAAGTGAATATTGTTTATCTTTATTTTTTAAAAAGTTTTTCCAAAGTTAATGAATAAATCGTCAAAATCTATTTTGTTTTTATTTTCTTCAAGAATTTTAGGTTTTACTTTCTTTCTTTTTACTCTCGGAATTTCTCTCTTAAATTTTCTTTTCACTCTCGGAATTTCTCTCTTACTTTTAGCAAAGTTTAATAGCACTTTTTCAAAAAGCTGGAAGCTTTTTTTATATAAAAGATGGGAAGATGGTAATAATTTGGATTGTTTAATGCTGATATGAAATGCTAGAGAAAATGTTGGAAAATGATGTTTGAAAAATGATGTGAAAAGACTGACTTTAAGAATGGGAAGAATGGATGAGTTATGCGATAGTTATGCGACAGTGAAATGTGATTAGTAATATATGGAGCTAGACAAGCTGCCTTTCGGGATTGTAAAATATTAAAAATGACACAATGATTGCCATCCTCTAATATTTATATTGATCGTTGTTGTCAGTTGCCGAATTGACAACTGACAACAACGATCAATATCAAGTAATTTGAAGATGGAAATTCTCGGAAGAAAGTGAAGTGAACAATCTGAGGACGTTTTGACATAAGCGAAGGTGTAACTGGTAAGACACATTAAGTGAAAATCTCGAGGCTCTAATATGGTTGTTTTAATTTACGAAGTCCACACTTCTCGTTCCGGAGCTCTTGATAGCTAGAATAAATCGGATTATTTCGTTGCAACTATTGCCACAAGTCTTAAGGGAACTATTATTTGAACTTTGCTGCGTATGTAAGCGATTCCAATCGGGAGTAGACATGCTATTGTCTATTTTTCATCTCGCTCTTTTCAGCTTCCCACTTTACATATTGGAGGTTTTTGCGTGCTTAGCAAACACCAAATTTCAGTAGCTTGTTACTCACTCAATAAAGCTTTTTTATTTCCGTCTACTGTTTTGTATCTTTATTGCATTTTCATTTCTGGGCCTTTCATTTCTATTTTTGTCATTATTGTTTTCTGTCGATGTCGTTATCATTCTTATTATCGGTGTTTTTGTGAAGGTCAGTATTATTGCTTATTTTATTTTATGTATTTATTATTTATTTGTCTTCTATTTCCTTCATTTATTTATATATTCTTTTATTTATCCGATTTATTATTATTGTTCATTTACTTATTTATCTATGAATTGATGTGTTATTTATTTATCTGTTTTATTTATTTAATCAATGTATTATTTATCTATTCATCCGATTCATTATTTGTTATTGTTATTATCATTACTATTATTACTATTATCACTATTGACATTGCTTCTCATCAGTATCACTGTATGTTAACTGTGTTGTTTACCGGAATGTTTTATACTTCTATTCTAATTCCTTAATCCTACCTGATTTGAAAATTGGAGATATAAGATCAGTTAATGTAGTAAGCGGTAATTATTTTTCGGGAAATCGGATTGTCATTCGGCACTAATAGTTATCATCGATTATCATTTTTAGACTTTTTCCTGTTTCGTACTAAATGTTAGTGAAAGTAGATATGAAGTATGTCGATAACGGTGTTTAGGACATGTTTATTAATTTTATTTTTTTTTTCAGTTCTATTGTTCTAAATACTTCCAACTTTAGCTGTTATTTCTCGACTGTTTCGTTAGGAAAAATAGTTCTAGTTATTTCAAAAACAGGTTGGGACTTTAGAAAATCAATTGTAACTTTAGAAAATATTTTGTCGAACAGCAACAAGTTATTGGTAGCTATTCCGTCTTGAACGTGTTGCCATGTATCATCACTTTTTTCTAGTTTCATTTTTTCCAGCCTTATTTGGTTGATATATATACCTTCACAGTTCTCATTATTTGTCAGTATGTCAGATTTTTGAGCGGTCTTTTCTTGTGTGTATTTAAAAATTGATTCTATCTATTATTTTAAGAGTAATGGATGAACGTGAAACGAGTAACACACCATTACAGCTTATAACTCACTTAGCACGCAGAGCTGTCACATCATCTGGTCAGAATATTTATGTTGTAAGTTAAATACAGTTGAGCAAATACGTAACTAGTAAATATTAATTGGAAGTTACTGATATTCTCTAGTGAATCATAGAAGGCATTTATTGAAATATTGCATGAAGTCTTCTCATGGAATATTTTGTTCAACTCTCATAAAATAAATTTAGATACCCTCTTATTCATATATGTATTTCAGGGAGCTGAAGCTACACGAAGATTTTCGACGCTTCCATCAGCAGGTCCACCTATATCAGTTTCTACGGTAGTTCTGAAGCGGTATATATCGGTTAATCGTACAGGCACACATCCTGCTGATAATTCGTCTGTACACCAAGCAAAACGATCTTTATTAAATAATTATGCCTGCTATCTTCAATTAATACGGAAATTTCCTCGCAGTATTGATAAATCGAAAGGCTTGAGACACTTCAGTACCAAAGTTTGTGAGAAATTGAAGGAAAAAGGACATACGAATTATAATGAGGCACGCGTTATTACTGTTTCTTTTTTCTTTTTATTTAACATCGATTGGTTTGAACGCATTTTTTAAGAGATGCTTTCCTGCTGATTTATCTATCTGCTTCTGTGACTATTGTAAGGAAGTTCTGTCTATATTCTAAAACATGATATAAGACTTAAAATTATTGACTGTATTACTCATTAAATGGTATTATTGATAATATTTTTTTTTTATGTCAATTATTATTTTGTCTTAGGTAGCTGATGAACTTGTTTCTGAATATTTCGATTCGGCCGATATTTAGCCTACAGATACAGTGTGTTTTTATCTGAAACCAGTTTTTTTGGGAAGTCAAATTTGCAGATTTTAGTGAAAATGAGAAAGTGCGGTGTCTCATCTTTGAGTAATTTAACTCAAATTTTAATAAGAATTAAAATAGAAGGAAAGAATTAAATAATTAAAATGGAAAGAAATTTTAAATAGAAAAGAAAGGATTGAAATATTGAATTTAAGAAATTTCTTTTTAGATTAAAATTTTAAAATTATGGTTTTGGAAACGAGTAAGCTGTAAGCCTATGTGGAAAAAATGAAAGGAAGTCCAAATTAGTAAAGAGTTAATCAAAAATTTAAATGAAAATTTTTTAAATAAAAATTATAAAATTTAAATAAAGGTTAATAGAGAATAAGTAACTGTAAACAGAAGAAAAGGTTATCATAGTTTAAGAATTTTAATTCGCTTAACAAATATTTTATTTTTTCTTAATTATATAAGGATTGGTTTTTTTTTCTTTTTTTTTGTGTAAAAATGTTTAGGAAAAACAGCAATATGATATGAAAAACATTCGACGTCGTGTTTACGATGCATTAAATGTGCTAATGGCTTTGAGGAGCTCATAATACAGGTAAATCCATTTACTGATAGTTCTGTTCTTTGATTACTGAGTGCTTCATGTAATTTGTCAGAATATCCTTTTTTGCAGAATGAAATTTGAATTTAACTCATGTTGAAACATGTATGTTCCAATACGAATATTTTTTAATTAAAATACCGTTTGTTGGTAGCTTGTGGCATACAAAACTTTGGTGAAGAAAAATCGCGAATTGGAGCGTGATAGAGGTCGTCCAAAGGAGGATTCGATACTTTATTTGCCATTTATTATTGTCAACACAGCGAAGAAAACATTCATCGATTGTGCTATTTCCCATGACAAGTTTTTTTTTCTTTTTCTTTTTGTTTCATTTTTTTCCGCAAATATAGTAGCCATAGTTTCTTTGCTTTCATGTTGCTTATTAAGAACGAAGTGTTGACTGACTTTTTACTCCCAAAAATATAAGCCATGTGTTACTCTTTATGACATCATTATTGTTACTAAGTTTATTATCACTACGTGCATCTATTTGTAAATTAGAATTGATGTTAATCTATTTCTACCAATAAAATTTAATTTTAAGAACCGAATATTTGTTCAATTTTGATCAGCTATTTGAAATTCACGATGATATTGAAGTACTCAGAAGACTTGGGCTTTCGTATGGTTTAGACCGCGGTGAAATTAATGATATTAATCGTAATAAAATCAAGTCGTATTTCCCTTTTGTGTTCTAGATTATGTTGATCAAATTATTGATGGTGAGTGTTTGAGTTTTGAAAGTGTTTGCTGACAAAAACTGATAAAATATAATTTACTGGATTTAAATTTACTTTTTAACTTTCATTGTTTTTTCTTTCTTTCTTTTTCTTTTTAGAAATTCTAGTCTTCAAAAGTACCAGACACTTTAGTGTATCTCAGGAAAATGTAGTGATTGCATATTTCTTGTCAAACTTGCTTTGCAGGAACTTGGAATAATGCCACTTACGATGTTCCACCAAACATTGTTTCAACGGTTAACAGATCGCAGAACAATAAACAATAAGCTTAAATTGTTTCATTTCACTATATTTTTACGTACTTCGTTCTAAGTTGATGAATTTTAGAACATTCCATAAATTAAATCTTTAAAAAAGTACGAAATTGAATTTTAGGATTGTTTATGTCGTAGCTTCGACGTTGAAGAATCGACAGTTAGCATCCCGCTGAGCCACCATTAGCCAAAACGTTTATCATCATCTTCTGCTCGAGTTATTCCACCTGTTCTTTCACGAGCTGTTAAAACAAACTCGGATTCGGTTATTTTTTACTATCTTATTTTATTTCGATTTTTGGGTAAAAAATAAATCAGGATTATGATATGAAATCATGTGTTCTTGATAGGCCTATCCAATGATATAGATTCTTTTTTCAGAAATATATAACAGCAAACTCAAATGGATATCGTACTATTCGTGCGCCAGTATGTCGTTATAATGTGCAACAAGAAAGTTCAATTAACATACAGCAAAGGGTATCTAATGCAAATAGACAAATTACTTACACTTTTCAGGTTTCTTGGCATTTTCTTCCTCCTTGCACTGGTGCGAGTAACCATAGTTTAATATCTTACCAATTGTTCATTCTTTAGACACGAAGTATTAAGCTTTGCTTAATGTCTCAGTATAATTTTGTGTTCTTAAAAGATATTCAGACTTCAACAGAAATATTCATAAGAATTTTACTCACTGGTACTTTTCTTGTAATTTGGTGATTCTTAAACCTCAAAGAATATTCTATTAAAAAATATAATTTAGGGTGTCGGACAAGACCAGTTTTCTGAAAAACAGCAATATGAAGTCTCTGAGAACGAAGAGGAAGAAAATTTAGGCTGTGAGTAGTTTGAAGCTTATAAGCCACAAAACACTATATTTCGAAATCATTTCAAGCTTCCATATTTGCATTAGATGTGTATATATTATATGATGATTCATGTTGAGTATTGATAATATTAGTTATTTGAGTCATTTTAGCTAAGGTGCGAATAGAAATTATTTCTTATAGAGGAATATTGAAGAACTTAATTGATGGATAGAACATATAATAACTACTTCATAACCAGTTTTCAAGATATGTTATTAAGATCAGTAATTGCAGTATACTAGTAATCACATAGTTATTATTCATTAGTGAGATATGTGCGGATAATGGTATCTGAGCTCTACTTTTTATTTTCGAAATCCAATGCAGAAGTGATGTTATCAGAAAGTTTGAATCGAATTGTTTTTTGTCCATCAGTATGTGCTAATTATATATATTAAAATGACAGTTTATTGATTTTTATTTTTTTACGTCGTTAACTAATTTGAAAGTCTCTCAATGTTTTTTTTTTTTTCAATTCTTGTTTGCAGCTATTTTACACCCGTTATTATCCATTTCTGTGGAAAAATCTCGGATAAGCTGTGAAAATATATTTTTTAATGAACTGTTTTTGTTTTTGTTACACATTCGTATTGAGTATGACTTCGATTTTTACAAAAAATTTCAGTGTTCCAATGTGCGATTTCTTTCAAGCACAGAAGTAAAAATCAATAGATGAATTAATTATTAGAGTTGAAGATAGCCTTGTTCCTTTCACAACTAAGGTTATTTCTAAATGCTTTCATATTATAAGATTGTTTCAACGCAACCTGTAATTACTGAATAAGTAGGTCCTAATGGAATGATTTTATTGATTTTTCAAATAAAATTTTATGGAGTTGCAGTGTCTAATGAACACTGTTATATAATTTTAGTCAGAAAATCACAACGAAAGAAAAGTATTCCCTTAAGATATACAAGCGTGATTAACAATTCATGGATGTCTGGTAGTCATATACAACCGTGCTTCACAGTTCATGAATGTATGATACTCAGACATATATTACAGTAAAAATCAGTAGAAGAATTAATTATTAGAACTGAGGGTGGAGTTGTTCTTTTCACAACTAAGTAATATATATATATATATATGGGTGATGTAAACCGAATTTCATAATATATTAGAGAAGTAAACCGAATTCAAGTAATATACGAGTGATGTAAACCGAATTTCATAACATATGAGAGAAGTAAACCGAATTCAAGTAACATATGAGTGATGATGTAAACCGAATTTCATAATATATGAGAGAAGTAAACCGAATTCAAGTAATATATGAGTGATGTAAACCGAATTTCATAATATATGAGAGAAGTAAACCGAATTCAAGTAATATATGAGTGATGTAAACCGAATTTCATAATATATGAGAGAAGTAAACCGAATTCAAGTAATATATGAGTGATGTAAACCGAATTTCATAATATATGAGAGAAGTAAACCGAATTCAAGTAATATATGAGTGATGTAAACCGAATTTCACAATATATGAGAGAAGTAAACCGAATTCAAGTAATATATGACTGATGTAAACCGAATTTCATAATATATGAGAGAAGTAAACCGAATTCAAGTAATATATGAGTGATGTAAACCGAATTTCATAATATATGAGAGAAGTAAACCGAATTCAAGTAATATATGAGTGATGTAAACCGAATTTCATAATATATGAGAGAAGTAAACCGAATTCAAGTAATATATGAGTGATGTAAACCGAATTTCATAATATATTAGAGAAATAAACCGAATTCAAGTAATATATGAGTGATGTAAACCGAATTTCATAATATATGAGAGAAGTAAACCGAATTCAAGTAATATATGAGTGATGTAAACCGAATTTCATAATATATGAGAGAAGTAAACCGAATTCAAGTAATATATGAGTGATGTAAACCGAATTTCATAATATATGAGAGAAGTAAACCGAATTCAAGTAATATATGAGTGATGTAAACCGAATTTCATAATATATGAGAGAAGTAAACCGAATTCAAGTAATATATGAGTGATGTAAACCGAATTTCATAATATATGAGAGAAGTAAACCGAATTCAAGTAATATATGAGTGATGTAAACCGAATTTCATAATATATGAGAGAAGTAAACCGAATTCAAGTAATATATGAGTGATGTAAACCGAATTTCATAATATATGAGAGAAGTAAACCGAATTCAAGTAATATATGAGTGATGTAAACCGAATTTCATAATATATGAGAGAAGTAAACCGAATTCAAGTAATATATGAGTGATGTAAACCGAATTTCATAATATATGAGAGAAGTAAACCGAATTCAAGTAATATATGAGTGATGTAAACCGAATTTCATAATATATGAGAGAAGTAAACCGAATTCAAGTAATATATGAGTGATGTAAACCGAATTTCATAATATATGAGAGAAGTAAACCGAATTCAAGTAATATATGAGTGATGTAAACCGAATTTCATAATATATGAGAGAAGTAAACCGAATTCAAGTAATATATGAGTGATGTAAACCGAATTCAAGTAATATATGAGTGAT